ATTAGCCTTTTACTATATAGGATGGTCAAAAACATAACTAAATGTGCTAATACCAAAACACATAATCCGAAAAACTTAAAAAAAAAAAAAGGTTCCAGTCCTCATTTTGGTTTACCTTGCACCATGAGCATGGGCTCCCTGCCCCCACCGTGGGCCAGCATCTCCCTTCGGTACCGCTCCCCTGTCGACCTGGGGAGATAAGAGACTGTTACCCTCATGCACAGCTTACTCCACCCCATTCACAGGTGTCTTGAGTTTCTCAAAAGATGCCACACTGATATCATATTCAGAAAACCTGTCACCATGAGATAATTCAGCTCTTAATTTTCTTGCTTCTAAAAATTTAATTCCAATTTTTAAAATTATTCTAATGAGTAAAATCATATATTTATTGTAAAAGGCTAACTATATTTTTAACTACTTTGTAGCAAGCTATCTCTTCATAGAAAGGATTATTTCATATATGTATTTCAGAATAAGTAAGATTATATTCTCTTCATCATTTTTAGGATTAGTTTACAGTGAGATTTGAAATTATTTACGCCATTTTTTACTTTTATAAAAGAACTTGAGATGGCACCTAACAAAGAGAAAAATAACATTCTGAAATAAAAGTGAAGAAAAAACGCTGGCAGGAGAGAATTAATTACCCTGGGAGACCTTGGCTGAGGATAATAGCTAAGGGAACAGAAAACTGGCTCGGCAGTGTGTGGGTGACAAAGGCAAAGGCAAAGGCGAGAACAGCTCGTTTTCATCTGCAGATACTCTTGGTCAGCTGGATTCTATAAGGAATACTGTCTGTAACCCTAGAAGGTCAGGAAGAATTTTTATAGGCAGAAATTCTCCAAATTAATGGCACCTGGAGACAAGCTATTTAGTGCTATTTGTGTATTTTATGGAAGATGCACTTCTTTTAATGGAAATCACACACTATGATAACATAAAATAAATAAATTTTGATGGTTTCATTCCATTCTTTCTGTAGCATCTTTATGTATGGGCAATTTTGTGAACATGATTTCTAATCAGAATTTTTGACATCATTACCATATCAAAAATATGTTCATATCAAACACTAATTTGGGTTACATCCTGCAGTGAGAGCTAAGGCAAAGTGTGTCCCAAAGCAGGAAGTGTGGACAGAAGGCTGGGCCTTCTCAGGGAATAGGGACAGGTGAAAGGGCCCGATTCCAGCCTTGGGGGCTTGGAATTCCCTCCCAACCACTGTACTCTGCTCCCCTGGCCTGAGTCAAACTCCTGCCATAGGCCTCCAATTCTCTGCCTGCCTCAGCTCTGTCCTGCCTGGCTTCTTGATATCAGCTTCCAGCTTATAATTTTTCAAAAGTGGGATCAAAAAGGATCTTTGGACAGAGGTTAGAAATTTTCTAGTCCAATGAGTATTTTTACTAGCTTACTTTTACATGTCTATAAAACTATGGCAACTACATGTCCAGGCAAGAATGCATATATAAACAAGGTATAAATACTTGGAAATATATGTATTTAAGAGTATGTGGTTTTCTAGTAAAGTGTAGTTCCTTTCAAGAAGATAATATTTTGTCTATTTTATAGAAATCTCCAGTAAAGAAATGTAATCCCCCCAAATTGATTTATTGTGGTTAATTTTGGCTTTATATCCTTGGAAAATAATAAACTCTGAATAGCAGACCGAATGTCTGCAAATGCAAAAGACTGAACACAAAATAACATGTGGGTACCATGCTGTAAAACATTTAAAAATTCTATTACATCAGATTCAAAAGATTTGGAACTGAATGTGATTATTAACTGCTGAGAAAAGCCAAACCTATGTCAAACTGTATGAAAAGTTGAGGGGGTATGCAGGAAGCGGGGAAAGAGAAGGGACTAGGAATTAGCAGACCTAGATTATAATCTTACTCCACCCTGTTAACTACGAAGCCATGAACAAATAAATCTGTTCTCTCTGAACCTCAGTTTCCTTTTATAAAACCCACTGGCTGAGCCAAAGCTGCTGAGTGTAAAATAACATGCCACATGAAAACTCTAGGGCCTCTAGAAAGCTAAGATGTCATCCATCTTAAAAGTGTGAAAGCAGTCAAGAGAACAGTCATCCACAATGGCTGCCTGACATTTGGAGATGTACGTATTTATTTGTGTGGTTAGGAGATAAAATGCTTTCAATGACTATCAGACCTGATCATAATTAGTGGTTTGCTTTCAAAGGCAGCTCCTTCTAAGGACTCACGGAACCAGAACTTGACTTCCTGCTGTCAGAAGGAGGCCCAATTAGGGAGCAACAGGAGCTCTCCTATGCTTCTCCAACCAATAGGAGCCTTGTGATGACCCTCTCAGGCCCTGCTCTCCCTCCTCCCCAGCTCCCATATCCTTCCTCTGTTGTGGGGAAAGGGGTGGCATACTTGTGCCTAGATGAAATTTCCTGTGGGCTCATTAAAGCTCACCACATCCACTGGCTAATCTGATGAATTATGACCTGGGAGAGGCCAGAAGTCTCCACACAGATGTTCCCGTAGCCTTCTAGACAGAGCTGCAGGCTGTGTTGTCGGAATCACTGACTATCCCATGAGGACAACGATGAGGCAGGGCAGTGGAAAGCCATGTTGAGCAGGTACCCACACTGTCTGAGTGGCAGCAGGTGGAGCAGTCCCCACCAACCCCCCCCCCCGCCTTTTTTAAACTGTCACTGCCTTTAAAGGTGAAGGAAAAGTGCTCCGAAGTCAGGCAGAGGGTGAAGTTTCTAGAATAAACTGTATGCTAAGGTCAATAACCAAAGTTCCCAGTGGTGCTTCTCCCAAAAGAAGAAAATAACAAAGTGCTTTGTTAGGCAATAAAGAAATGAGGTGTTCCTCATGAGGGAAACTTTGGATGCTTGGCTGAAAATAAGGACACTTGTCAAACAGGAAGTACTGGGTGCAACAAGTACTGAAAACAGGTGAGGCTGGAAAACTAAGAATACCTACAGGAAAGGATGAAGACAAAGCAATCTGGGCCATTCTGTGCAAAGGCACAGAGCCCTCACATAAAGGGTCCCCATGGGCATGAGGGCAGAGCGCCAGGCTATTAGCAGCGGGTAAGATAAGAAAGTTTGGGACCAGGCTCTGTCTCTGAAAGGGTCTAAGAGAGGTTTGGACTGAGTGATGATACTGCCTCAGAAAGCTTCGTACTGTGTCCTGAGTGGCCGAGGATTCTCAGAGCCTGACTTTGGATGTAGTGAGGTGGGGGGATTACAGAAGTTAAGGGGAACATTTTATGCCATACTCCCCTTATTACCTGTTAAAAGGATCCTGTAGGAAACATTCCTTCCAAACCATGGAAGCTACTGCCCTGGACATCAGGTAAGAGTAATACTTGGCACCATAGCCCACGAGGTGACTGAATCGCAGCTGCCAGGCCTGCCAAAACAGAAACACAGCACCAGGAACAATGAAGTCTCTCTATTTGCAAATGTTATGTATGAGAACACAATGAAAGCACATATGGAAATCTGCAAATGTTTTCATTTAAATTTCACCCTAGAGGACCATGTCACTCACAATATTAATTTTTTTTCACATTTAATACAGTTTTGAGTTGGACTTTGTCTCCTCAAAATTCTTATGTTGAAGCCCTAACCCAGTGGTTCTCAGCCTTCTGGCCCTTTAAATACAATTCCTCATGTTGTGACCCAACCATAAAATTATTTTCGTTGCTACTTCATAACTGTAATGTTGCTACCGCTATGAATCATAATGTAAATATCTGATACGCAGGATGGTCTTAGGCGACCCCTGTGAAAGGGTCATTCGATCGCCAAAGGGATCGCAACCCATAGGTTGAGAACCGCTGCTAACCCCAGAACCTAAGAATGTGACTATATTTGGGGAAGGGGCCTTTAAAGTGCTGATTAAGTTAAAAGGAAACTGTTAGGGTGGGGCCTAATCCAATAGGACTATTGTCAGAAGGGGAGAGATACCAGGGAAGGATGCACACAGAGGAAAGACCACATGAGGACACAGCAAGGCGGATGCGGTCTGCAAGCCAAGGAGGGAGGCCTTGAGGAAACCAATCCTGACATCTAATTGTTTTGCATGTTTGTCACTGCTGGGATTCATCTCCGTGACAGAAATGTAGAGAGAACAGCCCCAATGTGGTGGCAGAGTGGTGATAATGGAGCAGGGCTGGACTTTGACACTGACTCCAGCCTGTCTGGAATGCCTGGTCAGCAGCGAAGAGGAAACTTCAGGTCTGGCACTGAGTGCATTCATTCTTTTTGAGGACAATGATGTAGTTATTAAAGAAAGGCCATGTGAGTTTTCATGCAAGAATGCTCTTCTCTGGAAAATTATTTTCCTATGAATACTGCTCTTTCTCTGTACCTAAAAGCTGAAAATACCTACATTCTGATTGGTTAGTAGGAGAAGGGTTCTCCAAGTGCAAATGCATAAACTACCATAGCATATGCATTCATGGTAACACTATTACAACAAAAGCTAGATTTACAAACACTATCCTTAAAATACATGTTTATGACTTTAAAATTTTTACTTTTCTGAAACAAACCTGACATGCAATAATCCACTTGTATTCCAATGTATGCTTTATCTGACATTCAAACTTTTAAAAAAATAAATTAAAGCCTAAGTTTTTTTAAACCAAGATAATCATTACATAATAAATCTTTTAACTCCCTAGAAAATAAAGTATAATTCTCACCACAAATTTATAAACTAGACAAGAAAATGCTACCTAAATTATTAAGGAGCAAATATTTACCGAACATAGATGGTTCCCTGATCACAGTGGTGTGGCAAATTTTAGAATATACTCCGAGTCTTACACCCATTTTAATGATGAAGTCATAGTGCTGATTTTCTCTAAGTGTGTCCCATACTTTTAGACAAGTATTTGCCTGGACTGGGCAAAGGGGCTGTTATAAAGGAAGGCATACCGGAATAGTCAGACTAATGGAGAACATGAGGGTACCAGGGAAGAGATAAATATCCTCATATCCACTACCCCCTTTTTACAAAAGAATATGATTAGAAGTAAGGTGGGCACCTTGCCAGTTGTGTCCTTGAAGGAAAGAGATGTGCCTCCTCCTCCTTGTCCTGCATCATATGGGGCCATCTGTGGAGGTGAGACCTTAGCAATGGGGGAGCAGAAAGTAGGAGTGTAGTCTCTGACTCCCTGTGGCCACAGTGCTGGGAGGTGTGCTCACATGGCAGCTGTTCTGGGTCTGTTACAGTAACCAGACCAGGATCCTCTCTAATTCGCCTCAGGCACAGGTGCCACCACCATGCAGCACCATGAAAATATGAAGATTGGTGGGGCTGAAGCCCTTGAGGTTCAACAGTGGCCTTGCCCTGGGCTCAGAGAATGTGACTGCACATTCTCTTGCCAACAAGTACCCTCAGGGAGCAGTGGAGAGCATGGGAAGATAGAGACAGGCTTTACACCCTGTTTGCATGCAAGTGGTAATTAAATTGAAGGCAAATAGCCAATGACCAGACCATCTATGGATCAGATTCTGTTATAACAAACTTTGAATGACTAAATTTTTAGTCCAAGGGTGGGGTCTCTTGGAATTCATTTGTCATCTATACACAGTTCTGTGTACTCTGTATTATTTAAAAAAGGGATCTATGTCAGTTTTTGTGTTATGCTGGAATCTTAATGTACCACTGGTGATCTTTTCCATATAAAGCCATAGGCATGTGATTGTATCTTCTGTAATGGAATATAACTGGCTGCTTTAACACGATACTCCACCAATACTGGGTCTCATGCTCTTAATGATATAAGTCTCTCTTAGGGTGAAAGCCCCAAGTCTGGTAGCACAGTTAAGGGGCTCTGTCTTTGAAACTTTTCCTTCTTGGTGATCTGCCAGGACAAGTTTGGCAGCCTTTGCTGTAGTGAGCTGAGTTTAATTTTGTTTAGATTTGAGCTGAGTAGTTTGTTTTCTCTTGAAAGCAGGCCTACTTCAATAATGGTATTTAATTTGAGCTAAGAAATTTCTAAGTTCCTTAGTTTCATCAACTAGTAACTGAGCTCCCACATAAACAGCAATAAAAGACCTTTCAGAAGTGTAGAAAGAGGCATCAGGATTTGTGCAATGCACAGTGTCCTGAACTGCCACAGCGTCTGTCTTACACTAATGTCCCCACTTGGATACAGATATTTTAACAAAGTGCACACCTCGCTGTATCTTGTTCTTTAATTATAGGTTTGATTCCCATACTACTTCAAGACATGCCGAATAAATTATACCTTTCATCAGTGGTTTGTAAGTTTATGACAGACTACTACCTACAATTTCACTGCTATTTGATCACAAATGGCTAAATTCCTGCTAATTCAACCTAATATTAATTTCTTGTTGCCATTTCACTCATTCATCAGGAAAAATTAAAGACAGAATTTCATTTTAAACTCTGAAATTATGTAATATAATTTAATCTTCTACCTTATTCCTTTTAAATTGAAGGTTTCTTCTTCCTAAAGGGCATTTATCAGGTGGACAAAAGGTTTAACTCCTTCAATGTGCAATGTGTGGATGTGATCTCAAAAACAAAGAATTCAAGCACTTTTGCAGTTTCTCTATTATTCTGTCTAGAGATGTAGATTTCCTAATCCTAACACTATTCCAAGACACAACTATTAAAAACTTCCCTGGAGTTAGATAATCTCCGTGACTCCATATAAAAGACAAAAACATGGAGCAGGAGAAACAATATGGTAGGAACTCCAAGGATAAGGTAACTTGTTTTAGAACTCAGACAGGTGAGGCCCTTGGATGATTCATATTTGCTACAGCCCTTTTCCATTCACATAACTTTCCTCCAGCCAAATCCCAGACAGAACCAGGAATGGAAAGGTAGCAAAGTGGATGGTTACTTGCCAGAGTTGTCCCCCGTATCTGTGGGTGATATGTTCCCAGTGGGTTCCTACTAGTAAAACTGGGAATAGTATCAAACCCTATATCTACTAAGTTTTTTTCCTATATAGTAGTAAACATACCTATGATAAAGTTTAATTTATAAATTAGGCAGAGAAACAGATTCACAACAAAAACTAATAATAAAATAGAACAATTACAATAATATAATCAAAGTTATGTGAATGGTGAATTATTAAATAAGATAGGCTTACTTGAACACAAGCATTGCTCAACAGTCAATCTTATAAGCAAGATGGCTGCTAAGTGATAAACGGGATGGTAGTGGACACACTGGACAAAGGGATGATTCATATCCTGGGTAGGACATAGTAGAATGGCAAGAGATTTCATCACGCTACTCAGAACAGTGCTGCACAATTTAAAACTTATGAATTGTTTATTTCTGGAATTTTCCATTTAATATTTTGGAATACAGTTGGCCACAGGTAACTAAAACTGCAGAAAGTGAATAAGTGTGGACTGCTGTATCTATTTCAGTTTTGAACATAGAAGAGCGATTAGTACAGAGTAAGCACTCATAACTACATGTTAAATGCTGAATGACGCAATAACCATTTCTTTTAACTCCCAATAACACATCCTTTCTTCGTTTCTAGCTACATGTATATAAATACATTTAGCTAAAATTTATTTTAGAACGATTTTATCAGCGGGACATTATAAATTGCATGAGAACATAAATGACACACATTGCTTCCTTGGTGTTTGTCATACTGAACTGAAAGTTCCTTAAGAGCAAGGACCACGATGTTCTGTGCATGTCTATACTCTGCACGGCACCTGGAACACAACAGAATTCAACAGCTGTCTGCTGAATGGATGGATGGACAGAATGATAGATTGCTGGAATGATGAATGTATGAACACTACAGGATTTTTTCAAAGAGATGCTCAATGTTTCTGAAAGACAGACTTTTGAGTGAGATAAGCTCACGAATAATATCCGTATCACAAATAGGAGACTACTAGTGAATCTCAGGGTGACTATTAATAGTTTTCTCAAAAGAATTCTTTGACTACATTAATTGATAGGTGATATAGGATTGGAGGCTAATTCTGGCACCAGATCTCCAGGTCTGGACTATGTACAGGATCTGTGTAGTGCTTCATAGTATGTGATTTCAATCTCCTTCAAGCTCATGGGCTAGCAGTACTGTACAAGCTTATAAAGGCCTTTTGTTCAATATGTACCTGTTATAATTAGAATTACTTAATGATAGAAAAAAAAAAGCAAATTCCTAAGGTAGTCTGTGTGGACGGACCATTTTGACTTTTCACATTCTCCATGTACAATACAGCTGATTGTGGAGTATCTCTTATGATATCAAATCTATGGCATCTAAAAGTGTTTAACAATGAACCACAATGTACAGTAGAAGCAGATACTCTCCTATCTGCCTCTGTTCATATTCTCTCTCTTAATATATTTATATAGGATGTTCCCCCCAAATGTAT